AGGCTTTTGTAACATGCTAAAAACACTGGAACCCAGGTATGTGACTCCATCCTGACCTAAACCTCACCCATCATTCCTCTTTGACTTTTCTGACTTTCTGACTCAGCTCTGTTGTTTCTCCCCCTCAGTCCTCCTCCTTGGAGATTTTAATATCCACATTGACTCCACAAACTCCTCTGCAGCCACAGACTTCATTGATATACTCAACTGCTTTAATTTCCTTCAGTATGTCAGTTTTCCCACCCATAACCGTGGTCACACTCTAGACCTTGTTTGCTCCACTGGACTCACCTTGCATCATCACTCTGGATTCGACCTCACCATCTCTGACCACTTAGCCATCACCGTGTCCATTGACATCCCCATCCCACTGCCAAAGTAGATACGCACACTCACCTTCTGTAAACTAAACGCTGTCTCCCCTACCTCCTTCTCATCCGCCCTCTCTGAAAAAATATCCACTTCTCCCTTCATCGACCTTCACAGCCCCTTAGACCTCACAGACTACTACAGTCTCACTCGACCATCTTGCACCGCTCAAAAACAAAACAGTCTTCACCAACTCTGCTTCCTGGTACACCCCAGAACTCCGTCTAATGAAAACTCGTGCCTGGCAACTCGAAAGACTCTGCAATAAAACAGGTCTCACAGTTCACCTGGAAGCCCTCAAGGACCATCTGCAGCAATACAAAAACACCCTTTCCTGTGCCTGACCCACCTACTACTCTCAACTGTTTCACTTTGGCTCTGGAAACCCAAAAGCACTTTTCTCCACTATCAACAAACTCCTCAACACCCTGGACAGCAACTCCCAGTCATTTACAGTTCACAAATGCACCTCCTTCCTCTCATTTTTCCAAACTAAAATAGACAACATCTATAGTAACTTAACCAGCACTACATCTGCTCCCCCTCTACCCAGCTGCCCCCCCTTCTCCTGCCAACCATTGTCAGAGATCACCCCAGTCTCCCTTACAGACCTCTCTAAGCTCACCACTGGAATGAAAACTGCCACCTGCACCCTGGACCCCATCCCCTCATACTTTGTGAAGGCCTGCTTTCCAGCTAATCATTGCAACAATTAACTCCATCCTACCTACTGGCATTGCCCCACCATCTCTCAAAATTGCTGCTGTCACCCCGATCTAAAAATACCTGGACTCAACCCTGACATCCCAAATAACTTTAGGCCAGTCTCCAACCTACCCTTTCTGTCCAAACTAATGTGCTGTAGCCTCCCAATTGAAGTACCACCCCTCAGTCAATAACATATATGATACATTCCAATCCGGATTTCGATCAAACCATAGTACTGACACTGCCCTCCTCAAAATCACTAAAGACCTCCTTCTCTCCTCTGATAGCGGAAACCTCAACATCCTCCTCGACCTCAGCGCTGCCTTTGACACCATCAATCACTCCATCCTTCTCACCTTACTTGAAACGTCTTTAACATCACTGGCACTGCTCTCAACTGGTTCAAATCATATCTCTCTGACAGACTTCAGTTCATCTCCATCAATAACTGCAAATCGCCTACTGCTCCCCTCCTCCAAGCTGGACCCCAAGGCTCAGTTCTCAGTCCCCTCCTCTTGATCCTGTACCTATTCCCCCTTGGTCACATAATCCGCATGGTCACATGGTCTCCAGTTCCACTGCATCGCCGATGATATCCAGCTCCTCAACTCCACCAAGACAATCTCCACTGCCACCCACCCAACCCTGACAAACTGCAGAAATGAAATGAAATCCTGGCTTCAAACCAACTTCCTCCAATTAAACTGCAACAAATCTGAAATTATCATCATTGGACCAAAAGCACTCACAAAATCCACCCATAACTTCACCCTCAACATCGGCGGCTCCACAGTATCCACCTCCCCTCACATCCGAAATCTTGGCGTCATTTTTGATCAATCCCTCTCCTTTGACCAGCACTTTAACACCACCACCAAAACAGCCTTCTTTCACCTCAAGAACATCACCCGCCTCCGTCCATCCCTCACCTCCTCAGCTGTAGAAACCCTCATCCACACCTACGTCTCCTCCAGTCTGGACTACTGCAACAGTCTACTCTATGGCTCATCTTCAAAAACCCTCAATAAGCTTGTTGTGTTATTGGTTGCCAAGATTCAAGGAGTCATGGCACGAGACTTGAATTTTAAGACATACCAGCTGCCATTACCTGTCAACAAAAACAAAGACAACTACGATTAAATGCGGTTAGATGAAAGGACTGGACAGAGGCCATCATCAAAAATGCTCAAAGATGCAGCACACACTTCATATGAAGTTACGGAATAAGTATTTGCTGTTGTAGAATAACTTTATGTGTATTAAGGGTTATCATGGCCCAATCCCAATTCCTATCTTAATTCTCAAGCTCAACCCTCAATCTCAATAGCCCTCAAAACCAAGTGTTAAGGGCTATCTTGTGACTTTAAAATGGGACACCCCTCAAAGGCAAATATGTCTTAAGACTGTCGGGGGCAGCAATATGCCAAAACTCCATCCAGTCTGTCAGTTCAAAGAAGAAGAAATATATGTCATCAGTAGTCGTCGATAAAAAGACGTGATGAGTTGTTTTTTTTCCCAACACTTTATTTCAATTCTTGTACAAAACAAGCAGTGACAGACTTGAACAGAACAAATATGCCAGGGTTAAGAGAAAAGAAAAATAAATAAAATAAACAAACAAATAAAAAAGTTCAGCAGCTCAAACAATTAAATTGTTTACATATTTTCAAAATTTGCTAAGATAATAGATAGATTAATGATACAGAATTGTTTTGAAATGCTGACATCATAAAATCCCAACAGCACATCTTTGTACAGTAGTGAAAATAGAACATATTCATATTCATATATGAATATATCAACTGGATGCTTCATTTTTTTTTATTTATTTATTTTTTTTTTATTTTATATACTTTATTAATCCCCCTGAGGGGAAATTCAATTCAGTTTTTTCACTCTTGCTGTCAATTACGCACAGGTCCGAAAGACACACACATGCACAAACAGGACTCTATTCATGCACAAAGTGGAGAGATGTCAGAGTGAGGGGGCTACCTTGGTCAGGCGCCCCGAGTGGCTGGGGGGTTTGGTGCCTTGCTCAAGGGCACCTCGGCAGTGCCCAGGAGGTGAACTGGCACCTCTCCAGCTACCAGTCCACACTCCATATTTGGTCCAGATGGGAACTCAAACAGGCGACCGTCCGGTTCCCAACCCAGGTCCCTGTGGACTGAGCTACTGCCTCCCGCTACTGTCTTATCATATATAACGTTATGAACTGAACTGAACTTCTTTGTCATTTTTATGCGCTGCACAAAAACGAAATGACATTTCACATACCCCAAGCAAAGAGAAACAACAACAACAAAACAATTTGTGCATATAGTGCAATAGTAAGATGAAAAGGGTTGACATTTCACAGTCAAAAACTCCACATCCTGAGAGCAGATGATGTTACGCGAGCGGTTATGTCAGTCGGAGGCCTCCACGTGGGGAAGACAGACAGGACAGGAGAAAACTCCGACCAATCATTGCATTCGGTCCATGTTAGAATGGTGTAATTATAAGTTTTTATTTCTGGTGGAATTCACTTACATTTTAGTGTACCATCAGCTCATTAATAGCATTTTAACCTAAACAAAGAAAAGTATAAAATTTCCAGAAAGGTAGGTGTTGCTTTAAGTCACTGCATCTCCTGACAGAACAGCACGGTTGAATACCAGCCTGCATGCACGTTTTTCCAGCCTGACGTTGCTAAAACAGAGCAGCTAATGTTGCTAAAGCAAGAAGTTAGCGGAGTGAGAGGCTCATCCAGCCAGGTAACGTTATGTTGTGTTTTATCTTGTAACAACATTGTTTACATACGCCATGTGCTCTGTCTGTTGTCCTGTATCTTCTCCGGAATCTAAAATATTTCCATTCTGCTGATTTACTCCAGAGTAAATAATGTTATCTTCATAGTCTTTCTCTTGGCTGCTTGCCATTTGCCTGCCGCTGTTTGACAGTGACACAGACTTTCAAAATAAAAGCCTATGCTAAAGATGACGATATGGATTGATGTTTTCACTTTGTATTGATGATACTGGATTGTTGATTATTATATTGATATATCGATTCAGATTAATGGATCCTCACACCCCAAGTACCAAGTAGTGTGAATAACTGGAAAAAGTTGATGAAGTTTATGAACTTGCGGCCTTTTGGCATTACATAGTGGGGTACCTCATTTTGTAAAGGTCTAAAGGCATTATATGACTGTTAGTGAGCATGGCTGATCTAATGTATAGGCAACACACCTGATAGTAAGCAGATAATGATGCTACATCATTGGAGCACCGTCACACATGATTGAAGTCAACATTGGCAAATTTTCACCTCCTGTTTTTGGCAACAAAGTTGCAACCTCAATTAGCACTAGTATGTGTGGAAAGACAGTGATTGTTGCTGTATCCAAACATATTGTATTAAAAAAAGAAGCTGCCCCACATGAGAAATGTTGCCTGACTGGCACTGTGTCTGGAGACAGGCATGGAGCCTCAGAAAATGGAAAGTGTACCATTCACATCATATTTCTTGGTATTTATTAGCGAAATACCTAACATAAGCTAGGAAGTTAGCTTTCTGTGTGTGTCAAATCCGGTGTTGTCTGGCACTGCCTACATTCAACCCGAATATCACCTCTGCAAGCGATGGTCACTAGCATGCAGTCGCTCATGTGTGACCATACTCTCAGGGTGAACAAAAAACAACCAAAAAGCCTACAGCAAATCAAAACCTTGAAATAAAACAATGGCAAGAGCTACACCAAATCAAATCACTTCAAAACAAGGTGATAATAACTGCTGTATCTCATACCACATTTCAGTTTTACATGCAGTTTTTCTGTTCAGTGTATTTAAAAAAACCCATGAAAACAATGTATGTGAGCCAAGTCTGTCTATGATTGGATGTTACTAACATATCTTTATCCCTTCTTCAACCTCAAGTCTCTGTTCAACCTGCTGGAGTTTCAGAGGCTGGTGCTCAACTATTCACCACCAGCCAGAGTCCACGACCTGCCTCGCAACCAAAAGGTAAGACCCCAACCTTTCTTCTCAGGTCCTCAACAGAGGAAAATGAAGCAGGAAGTGTGATCGGTGTTTTTTGGTTGTTTTTTTAAGCTTTTCAGTTCGATCACCAGTTTGTGTATGTTATGTGACCTCACAGCAGCTGTTCATATCCCTCCTTTAGCCTCAGGCAGGTGCCAGTGTGGGTCACCATTCAGCAGCTGTGTGATTATGTGTCTTAGTCCTTGTGTTCACTCACTGATAGCAAGCTGCAAGGATTCCCACCTTTTGTAAAATGTTTGATGAAACCTTGGTGTCTCTCCACCAGGACTAACATGAACATTTAGAGGGAGGGGCTTTGGATTTGTCCTGGAGTTTTTTCAGATTTGAGATGCTCAAATTTGTCTTGCCACAGTCACCACTACATTGAAACATAAGTTATTAGTATGGAAAACATGGACAAACAAATGTGTTGAATGCTCACAATAGGAGTTTTAAAATCCTAACCAATTTTGAAATGGAGTTGCGTCATGCACATAGGAGAAACTTCACAGGTGTTCTCTACAATCTCAGACATGCACACACAACAAGATTTGAAAATAATGGTGTGTCACACACTACAGGCTTTTATGAAGACTAGCATGCCAAAGGGAGCCCCTCACATGTCTCTCACATAGTCTCTGATGAGACTGACTTGGTGCAACAACTTACTGTTATGTTAGTAATGCTTTGCAGTGAGATTTTAACTGTTTTCATATTTGTCAACAGTAATATGCTAACTAACATTAGCCTCAAGAGCTAGAATGTTTCCAAACGTGTTTTCCTTGGCAACACACTCAGATGCTCCATAATGCTGTCACCATAATCATGACATCCGGATTTTAATTCCTAAGTATCAAACCTTTTTGAAAGTATGGCCCTAATGAGTCTGTGAGCAGTTGGGGAGGTTTAATACTGGATCTGTAAACCTCTGACATTACCAGATAATTTGGGCCCAACATCAGTACCGACCAAGGTCCCAGACCAGATTTCTCCTCCAATTGTTGGGAGGGGTTAACTTGTGATAAATTGTCCCAAAACTGTCATAGTCTGAGCTTGACTAAAGCTTATGCTGTGAAAGTGTGGTTTGAGAAAGTCATCTTTTTATATCAGTTGCCTTGGCCCAATCTTTCAATTGAAGAAACTCTCAAATCTTCATTCAAGTAGTGGTATAAATCACCAGTTTAATCATGATACAATATTAAGTCGATTCCTTGCACAACAATACAATATTTGCCAATGTTACAAAGTCTGCTAGATACAATTTTGAGACGTTGTGATTCAGGGGCCTGCAGTCGATATAAAATGGGATCATCTGCCCATTTAACACAATCTGTTATAGAGGAAGCTGCCATCCCTTTCTTTTTTACATTTGGCCATCATTCAAACAACACATGAATAATAAAAGCACTAAAGTTTACTTAAAAATGGACTCCACTAACACACATAAAACAGCATACGGAATAAGTTAACCTTTAGGGCTTTCTGTCAGAAAGTATTTTCTTAAAAAATTGTTTTCATTTTTACCCAAACCATCATCTTTTTCATAAAACCTAAAGCCCTGAAGGCAAACTTCTCCCAACAGCCATAAAATATGGAGGATTAACAACAATGTAATTTAACAAAAGTATCAAATTCAGCTCAGTAATAACTGTCAAGGTTCAGAGACAAAACAATCAGTTTTGCTAGTGACTCATTATTAGCTTAAGCATGTTTACAGTGCATAAATTAGCCTAGTGGCTAGCACACTTTTTCCCCTCTACTCAAAGCTTAACAAATCACATGTATCTTGATTATTTTTCTTACTTACCATTGGTTTAAATCACTACATCTCCTGAAAGAACAGCATGGTTAAATTTCAGCCTGCATGCACGTTTTTTTCAGCTGAACATTGTTAAAACAGAGCAGCTAATGTTGCTGTAGTGAGAAGTGAGATGAGTGAGATGCCTGTCTAGGCAGGCACGTTGTGCTTTGTCTCATAACGACTTTGATTAAATATGGCACATGCTTTGTCTGTTGACCTTTATTTTCTCCTTTATAGAAAATATTTCCACACTGCTCATTTATTCCCAAGTAAATAATGTTATCCGTGTCTCTTTCTCTTGGCTGCTTTCCATCTGCCTGCTGCTGTTTGACAGTGACACAGAATTTCAAAATAAAGGTGTAATCTTAAAGGGACATTGTGGAGCATTTTCTAGTTGTTTATTGGCAAAAATAGATGTCTGCATTCATAAAAATGTCATCACTGGTGTATTATTGCCTCCACCAATAATCTGGCTTATTCTCGTAAAAGGAGAATTTCGGATTTGTTTGTACATTGGGTGGGTAAGTCGTGTGGGGGGGTTCAATAACGTTTCGCCATCTTGAAAATACATCCGCCAGCAAGGGACATATAGCACTACCAGGGAATAGCCCCGCCTTCAGCGTTTTCGTTGAGAGCCAGGCCAGCGCTGCGTGACTGAGAAGCTGAAGGAGAGGAGCAAGAGGCGCTTCACTACTACCCCAGCACTACTGCAGCATAACAAAGTCCCATTCTTTGAGCATAATGCAGGATCATGCATATGCAGCATCACAGGAGACAGAATCCTCATAGCCAAGAAAGTGGCATCAAAAAGGCAACGTGGCCAGCTAATTAAAAAAAACGAGGGTCAACATCGGGGTAGCCTTTCCCAGGTGGAAAGAGTTGCTGAAGGAGAAAGGTAATGCAATCACAGACAGTGATGCGAGGAGAGGGATGAGGTGTGTGAGGTTGAGCCACTTGTCAGTTGTCAAAAGACAAGACGTGATTGGTTTGTTTCGATTTACACTTGCCCCGACAGTCCTACATTGTAAACACAGCTAGCATGGTGAGAAGGGGGTTTGTCAACTCGTGTCGCGTATGTCTTTGTAGGAGCCTGAATGAATACTTGATGAAGTATCGAATGGCATGGTTTCATCAATGTTATCATAGCTTTTTGGTACACAGCGGCTACCAGTGAGGTGCTAGAGTGCGCTATCCGTTTGAATGCAATATATGATTTCAACGTTAGATGGGAGAAATTCCTACACACTGTGGCTTTAAGATGATGACATGGATCAATGTTTTCACTTTGCATAGATAATATTGGATCGTTGATCATAGAATATATATATTGATCCAGGTCAATGGAACGTTATACCCCTACATTCAAGCCCACTTGAATTTAATGTTAGGTAAGAAAAAAAATCGAAATGCTTTGTTTTTCTTTCCAGAATAAATATTAACAGTAAGACCTCTTAGCTATGATAAGATGGTGATATTCTATTTTTGTGTTAATGTAAATAAGTTCCATAAAACCAACAATGCATTAGTCTATCTCTCCATATTTTCCACCGTCCTCAGCCTGTCTGTTGCACTCAGCCCAAAACACAGTTGTTCTTACTGTGGATATGAATCTGTAAGAATGGGTAAACTGCTGGGTACTGTACTAGTACTGGAAATTTTACTCTATTAGTAGTAAATAGTGCATTTGCAGGAGAATATTTTCAGTGTTCCTCATCTCAGAGGATCACTGAAAATATTATTTTTTTGACCTGACTTTTCGCTTCACAAAATTGTTGTTTTACTCTGACCAGGAACACAGGAACCTGCCCTTCATGCAGGAGCTGAGGAACCTCTTCTCCCTCATGGTTGGGTCCAAGAGGAAATATGTGGATCCGTCACAAGCTGTGGAAATCCTCAAAGATGCCTTCAAGTCCAGCGAGTCACAGCAGGTAAGCCTCTATCTGCTATGACCTGCTTGGCATAATACAATCCTTAATTCCAAAAAAGTCGGGACGCTGTATAAAACAGAGTGCAGTACATTTGCAAATCCTATTTGACCTATATTTGATTGAATTCAGTATAAAGACAAGATACGATTCAAGCTTAAAGGCACTATGTGTAACAATTTCAGTTGTTCGAGACAAACAAATTTTGCAGTCAAAAGTGTGTCCTAGTTCTTTTAAAGAAAAGATGACTCCTGATGAAGGTCCATGCTTGACCGAAACGTTGACGAATAAATGAAGCAGAGTAAAAGTGAGTGCAGGAGTCATCTTTTCTTTAAAAGTACAAGTCCAAGGGGATTAAGTCTCAGCACCACAAAAAAAGCAGTGAGAATGTGCATGTTCATTGAACTTTGAAAAGTGTGTTCTAGCACATGTGTATTTACCTCCATCAGCGTATCTAAGTATGTCCGTAAGCCCTGAAATTCTCATTTACATATACATTGCGACAAGTGTCTCATCATGTACGTGCACCATCTTGAAAATACAGGTATATACAGGGACACACTTGAGAAATACGGAATCGCCTTTTGCGTTTTCACTTGTCGGTTTCCGGTTTCCGCCTGCAGGTAGAGTGACAAAAAACAGCAGCAAGCAGGCTAGTCACAAGTGCTGGTGCATTTGAAATAAGGCATTGTAAACACAGCCACTCCATGAAGTATCGGATGACATGGTTTCATCAATGTTATCATAGCTTTTTGGCACACGGCAGCTACCCTTGTTGCAATACGTGTTTGAAACAGCGCTGGAGTGTGCTATCCATTTGAATGCAATATACGATCTCAGCACGAGATGGGAGATTAACTTTTTTGTCCCACAGAGTGGGGAATTTATCTTGGGCTCTGCACCCATACTGCAGCAATAAAAATAAAACATGCAACATAGTACATAAACTAGGGCTGGGCGATATGGCCTATAAAAAAATCTCAGATTTCACGATTCACGATTTAAATCGATTTTTTCCCCTCCTAGTTTAAAAAAAAAATATTTGCGGCCTGGTAGCACATACCTGGGGGCCAAAACTTTCAGCATGTGAATAAACCCCAGCTTTTCCACGGTAGCCTATATATGGGCACCATATCTCTTGCAGTATACATGGCGACTGCATCTGTGATCGCTTTCCACCGGACCCCTTTCTTATCATATGGCAGTGTTTCCCTTACCATCATATTGGATCAAGTCATTTAAGGTTACCTTTCCTATAGAACAGGTCTATAACTTGTCCTTTTATTAAACAAACTAAATAGCCTTATGTTACAGGCTGAGCCTGATGTGTGTGTGTGTGTGTGTGTGGAGTTGTGTATGTGTGTAGTTGATGCTGGAGGTATGAGACGTTAGTGCGCCAGGTGTGGTGTGTGACGTCAGACGGATGCGCCCCAGGAATAAAGTGAGGCATGTGCTCTGTTTTTTACATCGAGCAGCCACAGTGAAGAATCCTACGCAGTTCTTTTTGTTGTTTTTGAGTTATTTCCCTCTATGTAAAAGTCAGACACTGATGAGAGAGACTTTGCATCATCCCTGCAGTGCTGAAAATAAAGCGCCGTTCTTTAAAGCAGACGAAGTCCCGTTGTTTATGTGTTGTTGCCACAACGAGCTAACACAAGCTAAAGGAGCTTATGGTCTTTGGAGGTCCCTTTACTACGGTTCGGGGGTCTGCCAGCTTGGCGTTGTTAACACTTATTTATGTTATTTACACAACGGCATGTCATTCTCCTCTGCTCTCTGCGTCGCGCACGGCAGAGTTCGGCCCTGATGTGCACACACATACATACACACACACACACACACGCACACAAAAGCGCTGAAGAACTCGTTCCCTTTCTTGAGAACGAGTTCTTCAGTGCTCGCTGCCATGTTGTTTGTGTATCAAGCGCGCAGGGGGGAGGGGTGAGCCCACTCTGAACTACGGGAGCCCAGCGTGGAGTGGCGGTGGCAGATTTTAAATAGAAACTTGATTTTCATTAAAACAAATCGGCCTAAACTACAAATTTGAATTAATCGATAAAATCGATTTATCGCCCAGCCCTAACATAAACAAATCAACATTATACACCAACGTAGCAATGACTTAAGAAACACAAAAAGATAAATGAATAAATAGCATCAAATTCCAATATTGTAACTAAAACAAAGTATAATTAATCCGCAAATTGATAAACTTTATTTATTTTTTGCATACATACAATCATTCTGATTTTGATGCCAGCAATATGTTATAATAAAGTTGGGATGGCATGTTTACCACTGTGTTACATCACCTTTCCTTTTTTTAAAGGGAACTGAGGACACTAGTTGTTTTGAAAGTCAAATTCTTTCCCATTCTTGATTGATATACGACTTAATTTGTTAACAGTCTGGGTTCTCCATTGTCATAGTTTGTGCTTCATAATGTGCCACACATGTTCAATAGGAGTCAGGTCTGGTCTGCAGGCAGGTCAGTCTAGTATCTGCATTCTTTTGCTATGAAGCCACACTGTTGGAACATGTGTAGAATGTGTCTCATTGTCTTGCTGGAATAAGCAGGGAAGTCCCTGAAAAATATGTTATGTGGAGGGCAGCATATGTTGCTCCAAAACCTGTATGTACCTTTCAGCATTCATGATGCCTTCACAGATGTGAAGTTACCCATGATGCCATGGGCACTAACATGCCTTAATACCATCACAGAAGCTGGCTTTGTACTTTGTCCTGGTAACAACCTGGATGGTCCATTTTTCTCTTTAGCCCGGTGGACACAACATCCATGATGTCCAAAAACAATCTGAAATGTGGACTTGTCAGATCACAGCACACTTTTTTACTTTGTGTCAGTCCATCTCAGAGGAGCTTGGGCCCAGAAATTCATTAACATTTTTTAAAGCTTAACCCTTGGGCCCAAACGATAGTGCGTCCAAATTCACACCTGTTCTTCTCTATGGATTTTCTCCGCGACCGTGCATCATAGCGAGAAGCCACGCATATCACGTGAAACAGTGGAACCGTAGCTTTCTGACAAGACCAAGCACTTGTCGGTAGTCCAGTGTTTTCGCAGTGAAAAAAAATGATAAAGTTACACTAAAATTATGTATAACAAAGCTTTCATACAGCTTTGCACACACATTACTCTTGGATGGATTACTCGCGAATGCAGGGTTGCACAGAAATGCCACACATATCACATGAAAGCGCAGGACTGGAGCTTTCCAGTGATATCACACACATCATTGTGCTGTCATCCCATCACACTGTAAATACAGATCATTTGTCTACAAAATAAAAACCTGAAGAATTTCTTTACAGTCCATTAAACAGATCTTGTTATCAGTCACTTCATATAGTGAGGAATATCGTATCTTACCATGTCTTAGGCTTGCGTGTGTTTCTCCCTGTCTATCCACATTTGTAGTCCGGCTTTCAAGATGCAAATATCTCCATATTGTCCAGTTGACACTCTGTCAAACTTTGTATGACAAGACCAGCGCACTTCACTTTTGCGCACCCAGACAACTGTAGCCTAATTATGCATGCGTGACAGGGCAGTAGTCACTATATACATATATATATATATATATATATATAAACTTTTTTTTTTCAGTTTCAGTTATATATATATATATATATTTATATATATATATATATAAAACTGAAACTGAAAAAAAAAAAGTTCAGGTCAGGTCAAAGAGCAGCACGGAGCACAGAGAAGTAAGTCATGATCATGTCGACAAGAGAACATCCAGAATGTTTTTTTACTGCAAAGTGGCAAATATTATCTAAGAGGAGATCATTGCACTTGGTTGACTATTTTTCAATTATCTTATATGTAAATATTGCATGTTTCTTTTAGATTAATCACATTTTTGACTTGTGAATGAGTCAATGGAATTTCTTGCAATAATGAAAAAATACTGGCAATTATGTCCGCCTGGCACAAACCACAAGTTTTGGACAGCTGTGAAGTGACAGAATGTCCCAGCGTCATGGCTTTTATATTACCAGATTCCAGAGAGTCTCCCCTCTTCATATATGGCAGAATATGTCAACTTCCAACTTGCTATGGTGAGATACATGTAAAAATGTAAGAATTTAGTAACACAGATTTGTTTTTTTCATTGATATAAAAATTAATATAAAATACCGGCACATAGAAGGACATGGAATGATGACAAATTTGGATAGCCCAGATTGTCCTGAAAAAAACAAGATATAGCATGTGTATGAAGCCTTTATAATGACTGTGATATGCTTTTAAAAGTAAAGGCAGTAAAAATACCCCAAAAAAGGGGTTTAAAAAATGCAATTATCACAAAGGATTATGCCACGCAAGAGACCCAAAAACAAAAAATCGAGTAGTCAGAGTTGTCATATTGATATTTAAGATTTGTTTGATTCATGATGTCAACTCACATACTGAGTAAAATGCAAGAAAAAAAATCCCGTCTTAAAAGTTGCTGTTAGCCTTTGAGAAACAGTGAAATAGAATAGAATAGAATAGAATAGAATAGAATAGAATTAAATAGAAAACTTTGTCTGGAACCAAAAGGCAACAGAAATTTGTCTTTGACAGGGCTCAACACCAGGTTTACACACACACACAGAAGACATTTAAAACACATCCAAGACATTTACAGGATCTAAAAACACTCAAAAAAAGTACATCAGATGATACAAAACACTGACACTTAAAATAAAAAAAAAGGACAAGTCATGATCAAGGCACTGTAATTCCTCTGCTGTTGAGGGCTGTTATTGCAGTTGGAATGAATGATTTTTTGTAGATGTATATTTTTTCTCTGTCTGTAGCTGCTAACTATTAACTAGTAAAGATGAAAATGCAGCCTTCCATTTAGAGTTGGAGTTGAGAAATGTAAACCTGCCACTGTAGGAACAGTGGTTACATTACCTTTGAAAACTGTGTAGATGGTAAATGGACTGCACTTGTATAGCACCTTTCTAGTCTTCCGACCACTCAA